AGAGAGAGAGAGAGAGAGAGAGAGAGAGAGAGAGAGAGAGAGAGAGAGAGAGAGAGAGAGAGAGAGAGAAGAGAGATGGGAGGGAGGATAGGTGAGAGGAGAAGAAGAAAAGAGAAGAGAGAGCCTAGAGGGAGCGGAAAGAAGATCAGATAGACTAGAAATAGAGTCAACATCAAGCTTCACTCAACGCGATTGAAAACGCAGCCACACTTATGTAATAATCTAATTTTTACGGCGGTTACAGCGTGAAATGCTGGTAATGCCAAAGCCAGTCCAGAGAATTTTAAGAAATCAAACACCATAGACGGCCAAGGCTTTCCCTCAAAAAAAAAAAAAAAAAAAAAAACACCATTCACACTATCAATCCTACACACTTCTTCCGTCTCTGTAAGGAGGTTTCAAAAAAGGGGTACCGTTTCAAAAACATCGCGGTAGTTTCACAGCGAAAATATTAGCGGCGCCCTAGTTTCGGTCCCCAAAAAAATATGTATCTTTCGTTGCAGGCTTGCAGCTTTAGAGGTCCCGGTAGTTTCCTAGCAAATTTAAAATATTATTTTGCGGGCGGGGTCCCACTTTCCTGGCCAAAAAAGTGCCAACAGTTTTTTTTTTACCCACCTGTCAGTGCTAGTGTTGCTGGTAAGAGCAGACACCACTAGCACCTGGGGGGGGCTCCATCTATTGGTGGGGAGCAGCACCTGCTGGAAACCGGGTCCAGTGTCCCTTACATAGACAAGGTTCGAGTCACATTTAGTATACTAACATGGATCTTTTAGACCCGCTCCACATTTCTGCTACGAAATTTTGAAAACGCGATATTTCTGCAGTTACCCCTTCAAAAAAAGTAATTTCGAACAATGGTCTCCATACCCCGCCCGCAGTCAAAGAGGCTGTGTAAGGTTTGTGCTTTCGCAAGCATTAGCGTAGCACCCGCTGGCGGTCCTTGGGCCCCCTGACAGTCTATTTGACTGCACGTCATGGTGTTCCTTGCCCTCGATGGCACGCTCACCCTCATGTGCCGACGGCAGGTGCTTCTCCCGAAAACTATACGGACCCTAAGGGCCTCGCCACACCACTCTCGAAATGTGAAAAAGACAAAAATGTGGCGGGTGCACCTGGCCATTTCTAGAGGGAAGTTCATTCTCATTTTACACATTTCGAGAGTGGTGTGGCGATGCCCTGAGCTCACAACAAGAGGCAGAGACCTGCAGCCCTTGGGCCAACCCTTGGGGCAGCCAGCTGCCCTGAACATTCTCTGAACGTTCACAAAGAAAAATACGAAAAACAAAAAAAGAGCGAAGAAACGAAAAAGAAATGGAAAACAAGAGACAAAGATAAAGACTAGCGTTTTCGCCCGAGCACAACGCACGCTCATTTTGGCTGTGCACCCGGCCCAGAAAGATAGCTTGTATACATTCGCTAGCCGGGTGCGTGGTATACGGGGGCGAAGAGGGTAAGCGACGACGAGATGTCACACGGCTTACGGCAGACGATGTCACACAACATACGGCACACGGCACACAATACGACACGACACGACACGACAGGACACGACACGACATGACAAGACATGACATGACAAGACAAGCCTAGAAAAGAGACAAAAAGAGAAGATAGGCATGTCACATTGTGGGCAAAGCCAAAGGTTGCATTGCTGAGGACAGGCACTGCAGAGGCATGCTGCATACTCGATACATGTTGCTCACAAAAATAAAATTTGAAAATAAGTTTAAATAACACCTTTTTTTTTCTTCTTCTTTTTTTTTTTCCCCCTCTTCTTCTTCTTCAAACGGAGCAGGCTGTTGAAATGGACCCGGAAATAACTTTTCTCGGCCTTAAAGATAGATAATCTGATAAAGTGTAGGTGCTTTTTTTTTTTTTTT